TTTTTATCACTAATATTTTTGCTTTTTTTTTTAAATTTCATGGTAAAAAAAAAATAAAAAAAAAAATGGTCGGACGACTTCTGGTTGACCAGAAAGAGTCTACCAGAAAACCAGAAGATTTGAACAAAAAATAATAAATAAAAATTGACATTCGATCGATCGGACCGATGCGAATTCCAGGTTTTAAAACCCTTTCATCATCATTTCTCCTCCATTTTTTCTCACTTCTCCTCTTCTTCCTTTTAGATCTACCTCAAATCTACCTAGATCTACAACTTTTTCTTGAAATTTCCACGAGATTTGAAAAACTTATCACTTTTTCTTCTTCAAACTCTTAAAATCCCCATTTCTTTTCAACTCCAACTCTTCTTTCTCTCTTTTCAATGGTCGATCGGGTTTTAAAGTTTTTCTACATTTAAATTGTCATGCCTAGAGTAAGAATCCCAGGAAAGAAGCCAAGAAGTGAAAGGCTACCAACTCCTTCATCAAAAGATGAACCCGATATGCCAGAAAATCACTTTGATAAATCTCTCATTCTTATAGGTAAGACTGTTGATTTTGATGATTTTACACTTCAAGCACCTGCATTCCATATAACAGAGTTCTTTGAAAGCATGGGTTGGATTTCTATTGAATCCATGGAATAAAATGCTTATCCTAAGTTTATGCAAGAATTTTACAAAAACATGGTTTATAGTCCTCGTCCGAGTAGTATTTCTTGTTTTCTCAAAGGTAAAAGTGTTACAATTACCCATGCCCTTCTCCGTTCTCTTCTTGAGTTAGAAGATTGTTCAAATCAAGTGTTTTGTCATATGGTTCATCCAACTTTTGAAGGTTATAATACTATTGTTGCATGCCGTAGAGTAACCGGAAAGAATTTTGAACACCCGATAAAATTTACTTCAAATTAATTAACTTTACTGTGTAAGGTTTTACACAACATCATCACCAATATTATTCTACCTAGGAAAGATCATCTCGGTGAAGTTACTCACTTTGATTTATTCCTTCTTAACTCATTCTTAGTCGGACAAAAATTAGACTTTCCAACTATTGTTGTTGGTCACATGAAATAGTCCATTTTGCCACTCGCATAAAGGCCTTACCATTTGGCATGTTACTCACTAAGATCTTTAAACATTTTGAAATTCCTTTAAATGGCAAAGTCTCCGTTCCACTGACACTATCAACATTCATACTCTTAAACGAATGAAAATTGTCAAGGAGCATGGGCAATGGGTGGCCCGTACTAAGGGGTTTGATATGGATTCGGGCCCTTCAACCTTACCCTTCGAAGGAAATAACGACGAAGATGATTAGGCCGACGACACACCACTCGTTCCCAGTCCTCCACATGACATTCTGGGATTAAGTGTTCCTCCACCTTCCAGCTGTTTTACTTTTATCGAAGATCGCTACAATCTTCTCAATGGACGACTTGACTCTCTTACCTCATCTATCGACGGGCGTGGTGGGATGCTTCACCAATTGCAAGTTCAGCAAGACACAATACAAGCTCAACAAATGACGATGCAGGCTCAGCAAGATGCTTTCTATACTTATTACACTGCTAAGTAGGAAGTCATGCAAGCTCAGCAAAATGCATTTTATGCTCGGTTTGATGCACTTTTCCCTCTACCACCTCCTCCAGAGTCTTAGATATAATTTTATGCATTTGTATTGTACTCTTTATGTGGGTCTTTAAATTTGCTTATGTATGACGTCTAAACTATTTTTATGCTTTGTGTGTTAAATTAAGGGGAAATGTTGTATGATTTTATATTGTTTTTAAATGCTATATCTTTTTACTTATGCCAAAAAGGGGAAATATGGTGAGATGACTATGCATGACTTAAATTGAACAAAAAATATATGCCTTGAATATATGGTCATGATTTGTAAAGGATAGGGGAATGTATTACATGATAATTTTTAATGTATATTCTTTTGATATAAATTGTTAAATTTATCTTACAAATCATCTTGTTTGTCATAATCAAAAAGGGAAAAATTGTTGACATATGGTTGACTTAATCCTCAATGTTTTGATCATAACAAACAATATTATTTTTATTTCTAACAAATTCTTTTTAATAATGATAGTTCAATGTTCAAATCAATCATGTATTATCGGACTTCAAATGAAGATCAAAGTAGAAGCCATGTATTCAAGTCAAATCATTCGAGACAAAAAAGTTCAAGAAATAAATGCCAAGAAAGATTAAGATCAAGAGCGTGAGAGACGACATCAAAAAAAGATCAAGACGAGACAAATTTCGGAGTACTGACTTGATTTCTTAGGCAAAATGTAAAGATACTAATGCTTTGATATTTGGCAAAGAATAGTTAAACTCAAAATCTTGCTATGCGTTAAAAATAATTTTTGTGCACTAAAATAATTCGAATGCAACCTTTTTTATTAAACATAAAAATGACTTTTAAAAATGATATATGGATTTTAAAGATATTTTTATTATGAAAATTTAGTTAAAAATATTCTCCAAAAGTCCATATACTTCACAACTTTCAAATTAGAACAAACGAGGTCAAAACGTAAAAAAATCGTACTGTCAGGACAGTCAACTGCCAAGACTGGTCGACCGGCCATGAGAGTCAGTCGACCGGACTTCTCAACGGTCCAGAATTTGACCGTTCTGACTTCTTATTTTTACTGTACAAATGGCTATATTGGTTTTTCGGACAAGAGGCGGTCGATCGGACGAGTCATCCACAAATTCAGATTTTTTTTTAACATTTTTGGACTCTATAAATACCCCCAACCTCTTACATTCATTATTATCACTTTCAAGAGCATTAAATTGAGATACATTCAAGCTTTAACTCTCTACTCTTTATTTATCCCTATCAATTCATTCACTTTTGGAAAACTTTTGATTGAGTTTACTTTTGAAAATCATTTCATTTATCAAATTTTTTCAAAACTAATACTTGAGTTTCATTTATTGCCATTCATTAAAGTGTTAGCTTACTTCTTTTTATTGTACTCAACTTTGAATATATCTTTAGTGTGGAAGAAGATTCCTTTCTTATAAAGTTTACTTTTGATTGAATTGTGAGTCGTGTTAAAGTCTTGAAAAGCTCAACGTTGTAAAATGATCGGTGCTCCTTGTTTGTAAGTCACCGAAAATTTTGCAGAAGGTTGAATTGCACCATAAGTCAATTACATTTAGTGAAAAAGGCCCTGGTCGTGACGGAGAGCTTGGTAACGGAGGACGTAGATCGTGATTTCCATAACACATTGTTTGCATTCTTTATCCCTTTGTCTTATTATTTCTTAAAGTTATATTGCTTGCTCTTTATTTTATTTGCAAATTATTTTTATTAGCACTTAATATTGAAAAAGATTTAAATAACCAATTCACCCCCCTCTTGGTTAGTTATTCTTGGACTTTCACCTACGTCTTGGCAGCACATGTAGTTTGTTTCCAGCGGCCTCGCGATTAACGACCCCAATTTCAACAGCTTGCATGCCTGGAATTCCAGCTTGACTAAATTAGACATGTATTTGGTCTTCTCTTGTCTTATTCCAGGCTGCAATTGGGTTAGATCGAAGGTCCAACTACCGTCCAAGAACTTGTGAAAAAGACCAAACATATGATGGAATCTGTCGGCCGTTACAGAATTCATTTTGTTAGCATGCAGCCTGCTGGTTTCTATGGTGAAATCTATCGGCCATTACAGATTCATGTTAGCAAGCATTCTGCTTGCAGCTTTGGCCACGTCTCTTAGATGAACCAACAGCTTGCTTGCCTTTTTTTTGGCATTGATATGGTTATTGATCTTGATGCCAAATTGAAGAATCCTATTCACATAATGCCCAAGCACTCCAACTGGGTAAGCAGATTTTGAAGGCACAAATTTGAATACAGCCTTTATGATTAACTTGAGGGAAATTTCGATTATGATCGGATAAATAAATTGTATTGATCAAAATTGTGGGTACAACTACTCTAGGCGAGTTAATTAAATCATTGCCTGCCGAACTTTACCTTAGGTTACCACTTACTTACTAGACTAAAAAATGTTACCCACTCCTCACTCATTTATTCAAATGTTTACCCATTCATCACTCCGTTTAAATTCTTTGCCAAATTGACAAAAAACTCCACGTGTGCAAATGGATAGTTGATTTGGCAAATTTATACCGTTAATTTATCCACTTGGATTAAAAATAAAATAAAATTAAAAAACCCCAAATTACAAACACAAAATCCCTGTGTTTAAATAAAATTAAAAACCCCTAAATTCTAATTTATTTTTTATTATTTTAAAAAAACCTCCGATTGCAACAGATGGATCTTCATACATTCTTTTTCTTAAATTTGTTCTTATTTATCAATGGTGAAAGATATTCGATCAAAAAATATATATAAAAAATAAAAGAGAATTTGGGAGTTTTTGATTTTATTTAAACATGGGGATTTTGTATTTGTAATTTGGGGTTTTTAAATTTTTAATTTTTAATCCAAATGGATAAATTAACATTATAAATGTGCCAAGTCAGATTTCTATTTGCACACGTGGAGTTTTCGGTCAATTTTGGCAAAGAATTGAAGAGTTGTATAACTGTTTGTAAATGTTTGGTCAACTGTGTTACAATATTTAAACATTCTTGACTAAAAGCTCCCAAGATTATAAAAATCTTGATCCTAAACTAGAATTTTCTTGACCAATGTTCCGACTACATCGATGGGAGCCTACTACTGCAAGCCAAATCTACATCAAGGCAGGCGAATGAGAAAAAAAAGTCATATAAGTATTGCTGGAGTCACTGTCCACCTACAAATAGGAGATGAGATCTGCATTTTAAAGAAAAGATGAAGAATGACAAGAAGTTGTCTAGCGGCCTAACAAAAAAATCTAACCAATATCTTTAGTAATCCTAAAAAATCTTGGTAAAAGGACATGTGATACGACAATGAAACATATTATGGAAGGAAAATAACATAGATGAAACTTCAGTGCATCACAATCAGAATCAACCTGAACTAACATGGAAGTTAAAGGGTTTAACATCGTTGATCCTTGGTTTCATTATTATAATACAAGCAAACATACATATGTAAGCCTTCATCTACAGACGCATGCTAAACGTACATATCTAAGCCTTCATCTACCAACACATGCTTATGTATGTCTGTGAGAGTATTAACCCAAGAGGGGATTATCAATCTGTCCAATAAATAGAAGAACCCCGGTCGTATCTTCTCTTACAACAAACAGAAATGGATGGTCAGCCACAAAATCCAACTCATCTTCTATTACAAAACTACATAGCATCACAACACCAGCAGTAGCAGCTGCAGCTTCTGTACCTTCCTCATTTACCTCGATAAAAGATTTGTGGAAAATGCTCGAAACATAAAGGTTCTGACCAGTGGGAGAATCAACCATTTCAGTGAGTCCATCACCAGAAAAAGGCAATACCAATCCCAGTCCCTTGAGGACTTCAGAAGCTTCAAACCCAAAAGATATCTTGAATTTTGGAATGCTGAATGCACCAACTTTAACTTGTCGATTAGGCAGGTGATTCTCTAAGAATCCGGATTCGGAGCCAATTTTTTCTACTAGAGCTGGAAGTCCGTCTTTGGCATCCGGAAGAAACAAATATATAGAGAACTTACGCTTGTCTTCACCTTGTTTGTAAGGAAGACCTAAAACTTTGAAACTGCTAAAAGCACGAATATATTGTCTCTCTTCGCTGGTCATGAAAGGTACCTGCACTGAGCTCCCGTTTAGGAGGAAAAAGTCCGAGTCTTTCGTGCTTGAAGCATCAAACTTCTGGTCCCAGTCTCCTTTGAAATACACTGCATTTGCAAAGATGAGTCTCGTTGAAGAATCAACTGAGTCGGATGGAAGAATCTCCTTGATAAGGCCACTCGTTTCCTTTTCAGCCCACAGATTCACCTCTTTGGTTACCTCAACAGCCTTTAGAACCATCAAAAGCAAAAAACATAATAAGGAGAACATTTATTTGAAAAGTTATACAATTAGCAGATTTTAGCATATCCTAATAAATTTCATAGTTGCCAAATTTGCGAAAGCTTTTGGATGCTGTTGATACTTGAAAGTTCATGGATTAAGTTTTCGAAACAAGAAATTACTGCTTATAAGTAAAGCTGATTCTAGCTATAATACAGAAAAAGTAGCCAATTCATTTTCATATCCCAGAGGTAGATCTAAGATCACGGTACATCAATGTTGAGCATCATTTTTCATTTCATTGCAGTACTTACATTTCATCTTGTATATAAAAGCGCTGTAAAAAAGACTTTTAGCACATTGCTGGGTTTGAATTCAACTTCTAAACTTAACAACCTTCGCCTCCCAAAAGAGATAATTAATTGGTTGAAGAGCCAATTGGACAGCAGATCTGGACTCACAAAAAACTAACCTTCGTCTGAAAATCTACATGACTAGCAGCAGCCTTATAAGCAGTAGAAACAATTTCTTTAAAAGCCGGCTTCAAGCTGAGACTCTGATCAACCCAAACGCCGTTGACGAAGGATAAGCGGGGCCCACCAAGCGACCCACCATCACCGAACACGAGAGTGACAAGCTGGGAGGAGAGGGAATTGATCTCTTCTGTGGTCTTGGACTTGAGAAAAGTTAGTAACTGGTCTAGCGTGGGCCCTTTCGACCCGGCAGTGATCAAGCCCAGCACTGGGTGAATGGAGGAGGGCGAGAAGACTATGTTGGCGTCCTTGGACTTGTTCGAGAACAGGTGCTTTGCGAGCAACAAAGAAACGTAGGTGTGGTTACCGACGGATTCACGGATGTCCATTGTACGAGTTTGTGTCCTTGAGTTTTTTGTGAAACTAATCGGAAGGGTTTGCAGTAGTTTGATTAATATAAATTTAAAGCGCTTCGACGTGAATCTTATATATTTTGCTGAAAAATAGCGTGCCTGAATAATCTTGATTAATTTAGATTATCAGTCATTTATTTTATTATTATATTACGAAGATTGAAAGATTAATGACCAAAGACGCAAATAGAAAGAAGGGTTATTCTTGGGTGACTCAGGCCCTGATTTTTCCCTATAAAGAAACTCAGGCCATCAAAATGAAAAAATTCTAGGACAAAAGTAGATAAAGGAGTAAACTTGTGCCTTGCGTTTGCAAAGTAGAAAATTTCAAAAACAGGAAGCAAAATATTTAGTCATCACGATCGCAAATAAAATAGAATTAACTTACCTCGAGAGAGATACTTAAATAAAATTGGATTTTCGATTGTCATGTATACACAAATCATGTTAAATTACATAGGTCGAGAATTGAAAATAAAATATTATTAGGTGAATTCGAAATTTCAACACAGTCATCTCATATTTTATTTATAATCATATTAGTTAATTAATAGGTTAACTTAGAATAAACGCAGTACCTCTCTTTTGTGTTACAACATTTGAATTTGATAAAAAAAATAATAATAAAATTTAATTTAAGGTTTATTCTCTAGGGATGATAGTCTTAACTTAATAATCCATTATTTGTCGATGATTCCGCACATTTACAAGTTTCAGACTAACACTTTCCATTTCCGTTTAGGGAATGTTATTTTATATGTAGCAAAACTTATAGCATCAAAGTTCTTTCTGTTATATTTGCCTTATGATCGGAGTCTAATGTTTTCATCTAATAATTTTTTAGAAGTGCAATACATATGAAATTGCTTTACTATAATGCATTGAGATGGACATTGAAAAATGCAGAGAATACATGTCTGGTTTGAATACATAAACCCTCATAAAATTTTGATAAGACAATTTTCTCAACATTAGAGAAAGAATTAAGAAACTGAAAATTATATACATAATGAGTTATTATTATTTAGATTATCACAAAAGATAATTCAAATCTTCAAAATATAATTCATTTAAATGTATTTACTAATCAAAGAGACTAACAATATCTCACACAATATATTTAAATGCTCCAACTCAAATTGATGTACTGGGAGGACAATTCGTTAGTATTATATTTAATAAATCTATTGCAAGCTTGAAACGTGATTACGTTCGATTCTAAGACAAAAATCTTCAAAATTAAATGGAGCAAATAAGGAAGACGATCCCAATTGAGAGACTTGTAATGTTGAAGAATATATAGACATAAGTAACTATAAAAATCCCAAAAGATATTCAAATATTAAAGTGAAGATATCTCAATAAATTATGACATTATAGGAAGTTAGAAATAGAATCGAAAAGAAAAAAGTTATCAACAACACTTTTTTACATGATATATTGCTTCATATTATAAATTGCAAGGATATCAAAATAAATTTTTTGAATTATATTGATCGAAATGATGATTGACCAAATAAAATGATGCAGTAGTATTGAAATTGAACTTAATAGGAAAAGCTGGAGTTTTTAGACCTACAACTCAAACACTACATCTAGAACACACTATATATACTCTACGTCTTGTAGCCTCTTCATTAAATTAGAAAACAATTAGATTTGGTGGAGAACATCAAATCTTCACTTTGACTAGAGAGTTCACTCTTTTTACTAAAATGTTCTTTGAAGAGAATATAATCTTAGTCAAATAACTCGTCATATCATTTAAAAGACTCACTTGGTTAGTCAAGAATCTAACATGACTAGTGAGATCTTGTTTGTTAATCCTAACCAAGGGTTTACAACACCTAAGTCTAATGTGACCTAACTCACCACAATTATGATGAGTGAGAATGAATCAAGGAGCAAATCTAGGATCCAAGTTTTGAAACTTAAGTTGAGGAACCCTATTTTGCATAAAAGATTTTTGTCCTAGAACTCCTACATTCTTACACTTAATAGAGGCATTTACACTCTTGTTTTTAGAGGGGGTAGTGGTATGAGAATTAGTTTTATAAAATCGAGAACATCTTCTATTCTCAGCTAATTTATTCAAACCTAACATGTTGTCAAGTCTCCTAGATCACAAGAAAAAGATTGAAGTTGGACATTAGATTTTTCAAGATCACTCGTAAGAGACTAAGAGTATTAATCTTAATTTCTAAAGACTCTCTCAACCATCAACTCATTTTATCTTCTAGTTCACTACTTAAATTTGGCCAGTCTCAAGATTTTTAATGTAGGTTTCATAAGATGGGGTAGCATATAGCTTAGCCTCACTCGTCTAGCTCAAGAAAGAATTTATTTCTTTTGCAAGACATAAAAAAGTTTCTCATGGCCCAGTTATTTATAAAACGTTCTCTACCATAGAATTAAGACTTCGGGGTCAACGTCAATCCTTGCTGAAAGGAAACTAAACAATAAGCTCTCCTTCTCTAATACTAATTCATGGAATTTCTTAAAGGTAGCACTATCAACGTTCTTCAGTTTGAGGTTCTCTACATACAACTAGTCATAAGCCTTTTACATATCCCAATCATTCTCCAATTCTTCCTCTGAAGAGTCAGATTACCCTATTTACGATTCTCTCATTTTTTACAACAGAAGTGAATGGCTTACAATTACATCCCTCATCAAGATTGGAGTTCTCACTATCATTGAAGCTAGCTCGATATCAGTGAGAATGGCATTCATAGCCTTATCTAGGATTTTCTATAAGTTGGGCACTCGTCTCTATCATGACCAAAACCGTGACACTCATGGCACTTAATAGATGTAGACCTAATCTTGGTATTCTTAGTATCTTTCCTATATTTACTAGGCCCACCCTTGTACTTTTCAGAAGGTTCCTTATTATTTCTCAAAAAATTCTTAAATTCCTTAGGAAAATAAGTAACCTCCTCATCTGCTAGACTCTCATCCTCACTAGTCTTTTCCTTAAATCATGTTAAGGGTTAAAAATTTCTCTTCCTAAAATTGGGGTAGGCTAAGTTCATATGTTTGAAGAGATCATATCAGTTCTTCTATCTTTATTGTATTTGGGTCTTTGTAGGGATGTTAAACTGGTTGAGCGCCTCGTCCCTCAACCGCTCGGCTCGTTAAAACTCAACTCGTGAGCGACTCGAGCTCGTCAAATGACTATCTCGAGCCCAAGTCAAGTACGGGGCTCAATCCCACAAGTCAAGCCTGCCCGGCTCATCGAGCCCACAAACCATTTTTTATGGGGGCTCATCAAAAAAATGTAAATTTACAAAAAAAAAAAAGTAAAAAAATCCAAAAAAAAATTAAATTAAAAAATGACGAGCTCACGAGCTGCTCGTGGGCTCGGCTCGGCCAGCGAGCTCGTGGCTTGTGAGCTCATGAGCTCGTGGGTTGAGCCGAGCTCGAGCTCGTGGGTTAAAGGGCCGAGCTGAATCGACTCGACCCATTGTCATTCCTAGGTCTTTGCTTTCTTCAATGGCTGCAACCGACTCGGCCCATCGCCATTCCTAGGTCTTTGCTTTCTTCAATGGCTGCAACCGTAGGTCTAAGTCCCTTAGGTAGGAATCTCATAACTTTCCTCAAAATCTTAGCCTCGAGGATTCTCTTACACAGGTTAAAACTAGAATTTGCTATGTCGTTTATTTTTGCATAGGATTCATCAACTTTCATCCTAATTTTCTCAAACCTAGATGTCAACATCTGTAACTTAGAATTTTTCACAATTTTAGTTCCCTAGTGTGTAGTTTCTAATATAAAATAAGGATTTGACACACTTAAGGACGGATTTATATTTGGATATTTATAATATAAAGTGTTTTAGGCTGAATGGGATTGAAAAATCTATTTAAAATCGAATTGGTTTTTTTTCCAAATAAACACGCCGCTTCAGCGCCCTCCTGGCAGCTAGTGAGCAGTCTGCTCGAGCACTGCCAAGGCGGTTGGAAAGCGAATTTGTGACTTTTTTTTCTTCTTGGTCCACCTTCGATATGTTTGATTCCTTGAAGACCTATATTACAAATTCACAACTATTTTGACTTCAATTACAATTAAGACCTACCAAATATAATTTTGTAATGCCAATATTACTAAACTATTAGCATGCATATTTATTAGTCATTACCTTAAACTTGATATAACTAAATAAGACAATTTTGATTTTTTGTTACTTACGTCTCTTTTTAACGCATCAAAGATACCCTTGATTTCACCACTATAATGAATTTTTACTTTTGCTCAACAAACGCAATTATCTATTTATGAGATTAGTTGTTATGAATTTTTCGCAATCAATATAAATTTATTGGTCTAAATATTGGACAATAAAATATTTTTTTTGGATTTATCAGTCCAAATTATTCTTATAATTGGTATCTTTTTCTTTTGTCTGCTCTTGGTGGGAGGAAAAAACAGGAAAATATAATAATTATTATTATTATTATTGATGAAAATAATGGCATAACACCGTATATAACGTGACACAACAATGTGCCAAAAATGATATATTTAATCAAGGAATAGAGCTATTTGTCATTTTCTCTTGTAGCTTTTATTTGATTGATTGAGTCTTAGACCAGTGGGAATTCATGCTTAAAAAAAAAAAAAAAAAGGTTGAACCCAAACCTTGAGGGCTTCCACCGCCCTGTCCCTAGAGTTTTGTGAGGGAGGTAAATCATGAGATGTGCCCCAACAGGCCAGAGAACAAGAGCTGCCTGTACACTGCGCCTATAAGGAGTCCAATTCCATGTCTCAGGAATCGAACCCCCACACTGCGGCTACCAGCAAGGTGTGAGACAACGTCACTCCTGTCCTTTGCACCATTGAACTATGCCCCGGGAGGCGTTCATGCTTAATAGTATATGTGCGTACGTGTAGTGTAGTGTAGTGTGGAAGGTATGAATCCTCAAGCTATTGATTTTAGTTATGAAAACAACAATTATTAATCAATTGGGAAAAGGTGAATTAGTCATTGGCCACATTTTATAGCAAGCAAAAATTGAATTATTAAAGAAAATATTAATCATAATTCAAAAATCGATGCATCTT